ATGAGAGTACTAGATAAGATGTGTTCAAAATCATTTGAAAACCATAAGGTATACTTTCTACCATCATTTCCTTTGTTTGTACCCGAGCAGATCATTAAAATTCAATTGGGCCGATTTCTGTAGAAATCGCCCCCCGTCCTTTGTCATTCTTAGAATCTACTTATGTTTGCAAGGATATTTGAACACATCTTATCTAGTACTCTCATGATCAGAATCATTCTTCATTTATTTCATCATTAACTCTGACATAGCTCTACATTTGGTCTTAGCAGTATATCAGTGGTACGAAATAGTGTTTTTATACCAATATATATGTTGAGATCGAAGCTCATCAATGAGACTGTAATGCAAACCAGTTCATTGTGTCATGACAACAGTGAAGCGTTGGTTCACACGGTGAATACAGAGCAAAAGACTTAATTGATTCAACTCAATTTAGTCGATCATGTACAGCGACTCGAAAACAGATAACGAAGAAGAATTGTTTCGCTCGTCAAACTATTGGCGTTTGTCATAAACTAAGGCATCAAAGATCGATTAAATAGAAAAAGAATCATGATCAAGGAGAGAACAGTATGACGGTACTTGAATAAAGCAGAATCGTTTAAATTGGGCTGAACATGAAAAAATAACGAACTGGAACGAAACGACTATCAAGCGCATCGGTCATGTTCTGTACGATGAAAGAAAGTAAGAGAACTTCTATCCTGATGGTTACATTGAAACTTCTCATATTTTCAACTTTATTGGTAATACTCTATATGAACAAAAGAAATATGACGAAGCTCTTCAACTTCTTCAGAAAGCCTTGGCTATCTTGATAATTGTTTCAAGAGATTATGGAAAGTACAATGATGCTATCGAATTTCAATAATGAGCATTGATAATGCGAGAAGAAAAGCATTCCCCTTGTCAGGAAAAATTACGGATAGTTTGAAGCGTATCGGTGAAATTCGAATCGATCGAGTAAAATACAATTTAGCATTCGACTATTATCAACGAGCTTTAGCAATTCTCGAAAACTATTATCCATCTGACCATGTTGATATTTCTGAGAATCTACGATATATCGGTATCACTTTAAATCGACAAGAAAAATATGATGAATCTTTCGACTTTTGTCAACAAGCATTGATTATATTTGAAGAATATTATCTGAATGATTATATTGAAATCGCTGATTGCCTATACTGAATCGCAGTTAACTTCAATAGAAAGTCCCAGTTCGATCTCGCTATTGAATATTTGAGAAGATGTTTATTAGTTGAACCAGTCAGTCTATCTCCAAAAGATGTCTCCATTGCTTACGTACTTGACAGTTTGTCACAAATACAAACAAGGAGCGAAGAACATGAAATCTCTTTTATGTATGAATAGAATTGTTTCTTAATGCGTCTTAAAGCTCTGTCACCAGTTCATGAGAACGTTGGTCATAGTTTATCCAACATAGGAGAAGTTTACGAAAATCTAAATTGGTACTTGATTACTAGCAACAATGATTAGCTATCTACAGCAAATGTCTGCCTTCCTGGCATAGGAATCTACGAAAGATGGAACTAAATATTGAATGACTTTTGGAAGAACTTGGAATAAAATTCGATTAATCAGTTTGACTTTTCAAATGTACTTCTTTTCTAATAAACATCATTATTATCAGAGTAAAGTGTTGATAAAAATATCTTGGTAGAAATGTATCAGACATTGCTTCATGTGATAATATTCGTCATAAATATCATAGTAGTCATCACAACTTATACAAGGATTATATGTCGTGGTTTCAAGACTGTAAATATTATATTCAAAGCATAGTTGAAAAAAATGTTGAATACATTTCAAACACATATTCGATGGCAAGAATTATTAAATCATCGAAATGAAGATCTGAGTCTCTATCTAAAGTTTCATGTAGATCGGCGATTAATTCACATAAATAATGTGAATGCGTACGAGGAAGAATGAATAATAGTATAATCAATGGATATTTTTAGGTTTATTGGTGATAGCATTATCTTGTTCACTTTTGACAAATCATATTCATCAAAAGTGTTGCTCAATGTATATGGTATATATCGAATGCCGTCGTCTCAACAATGATTGAGTAGTTTTGATCTTACATTGTAAATCCAGGAAAAATGAGTGTTGGTGTGGATTTGGGTTTTCTCTTCATGTACACATGCACCCACGATCATATTCACCCCAAAAACCTCGCAGTGGCTATTGATTTTGCATGGCAGTCAAACTACTGTATCTACTGTTGTATCCAAATAAATAACAATTATTCGTTATTTTATCGAAGAACCAACTTCCATTCAGTCATCAGGGTTTTTCTTGATGAAAAAGCTAAGCAAAATACATTACGAGCCTTTGTGTCGATTGGATGTGCAACAGATTTTTCCGGTCATTTTAAAATTTGCTGTAGTTTGGGTGTAGGCGAAATCTTCTCTACACCCATACCCCATATTGGAAAAATGACCAAAAACGATTGCTTCAAAAGAATGTGACATTCTTCTTTGTATGATATCTTTTTGTGCAGCGTAGCCAGGAGGAAAGGTAAGGACAGCTAAGTAGGTTAGATTCAGCCGCCATCGAAGATTGAATGTTGTGTCAATAATAACAATTCGCAATACGCGGGAAAGAATGTGCTCTCATGAATTGAAGAGAAGGAATGGTAATAACGATCATGATACAAGTGAAAACGGTCATAGCGTATATACACGTTATCAGTAAGCAAAGGGTAAAGAGTCGATTTTTGTTTGCATAAAATGTCGTCGAAAAACTTTTAGTATTTTACTGATAAGCCAATAAAAAGCTGTATCATGTCAAGGGCTGGTAGTAGGTTTTTTCCAACTTGCAAATATTTGTGAAGAATTTTCATTCAGGTAACGTGGTTGTGGGTGTGGATACGTAGCATGAAGGTGAATGGAGCGAATCAGAGACACTTACAATTACTCTCACTAATCTATCCACACAATGATCCACTGAAGTTCGACTTTCGATTTCTGCGCACCCTTCCTACATATCATAAATTTCCTAGTCCTCATTCGATATAAATCCATTTCCAACGTCATTCTAGCTAGGGGATAAACTCTGATTTATTACTTATCACTATTCGATGGGGGTCATCAGCATCACTATTACTTCAAATAGTGCTCTGCACAGTTTCAATCCGCACGGATAATTTCAAACCCTTAATCAGATATAAAGCATTGTTAGTGACTGAGGTCTTTTATTTTACCAATGGCTTACTGAATATGAAAGTTCATGCCATTGAAGAGAAGTGATGTTTGAAATTTGCTCTGACGACAAATATGAGTTATTTCTATGATAAAAAAAAAACTGTGCAGAGTATTCTTACAGAATTAAAATGTGAAACACGACTGATTAGTTTTATTTGTTAACAAGAGCCATACTAACATCGATCGTACTATTCCCGAAAGTCAGACGAACTAATATAGTCAAATGTCTGTCATTATCTGTGACGTTTCATAAGGTTTTTTTCAATATGCTTGTCAAGGCCTATGAGGTTGACCGAGAATGAGAAAGTCTCATTTTTCTCTGTATATACTTCAACACTCATTTCACATGCTGCTTCACAAAATATAATTGCAATGTATCAACTACTTCATGATGATATGTCTATTTCAGAAACTTGCACTTTAACATAGATATTATAAAACGAAAGAGCATAACTTTATTAATTGACTGTTGAAAAGAAAATACTCCATTTAGAATGAGTTTTACGAAGTTTTGTCTATAACATTTTGCTGGATACTTTACAAGAATTGAAATAAGTTTGTATTTGCAAAATTTGATTCAGTTAGTATTATATAAGCGGTTTTTTACAAATCAGCAGAAAAAATGTCAATGCTCAGTTTTTGATCATCTATGAAATGACACAATCAGCCTCAACCATCGCACGCATCAACCGACGTTGTGGATTGAATCGATCGGCCAAACGACTCATTGGACCAAAATAATTGTTTCGCATCCACGACAATTTATAAGTCATAATTTTATTTACTTGTCGTGAACGTCCAGCAATTAGAATCGATCGAACAGCCATAAGTTGATGACGAATTTGACTAAATTCATAGAATTCATTGGCTGAATCTCCACATAATGCATCACTGTGAAAGAAAACTTTATTATCAAGTACGTCCGGACTAAGAGCTGAACAAAGTTTGTATACAATTTCATCTTCATCATCGGATAATGCCCAGTAATTATTATAATTGGTAAACCGTAAAATATTGGCATCATCACATTCAACTGCAGTACAAACGCACTTCAAGTAGTACATGCACTTTGCTATGTCATTATTTGGAATTGATGTAGTAACGCCTAGATAAAAGAAAGTATCAACTGATATTGTATTGATAGAGCAAGAAGATCATACCAACTCTTTGAACATCAATCTCTCGACGCTGAAAAACTGACATTATTCGACTTTTTCACGTAAGGAAGATTTATTGGATAAGTTAACCTTTACAAAAAGTGTTCTACTTTAGTGTGGCTTGTAATAGAGCTTTTATAGATGAGAAAACAAGACCAATTTTAACTTGGAAAGATTTGACAGTTTAATAAATTTCTATTTTCCAACTTCTTCATGAAATTAGTAACTTTATTTCAAAATATTTGCGAAACTTCTTTCAAGATACATAATGTATGTTATGATAAACTCGGAAGAAGAAAATGTTTTTGGCATAAGAAGCAACTTCCTAGCTGTTTGTCTTGAAGAAAAAAAAAATTATAGTAGAAAAAAATGATATCACTTGGCAAAGAAACAACTCAGCTTTTTTCCTTTCAAAGGCAGTAGAAAAAAAGATTTATGAAACTTGTGTTATTTTTCTAATTGAGGAAGAATGTTTCGAACAAACAATGGAATCTAGTAAATCAGGTCATATCAAAGTAAGTCTTTCGTTTTCTACTTCAGAATGTTATGTACCTTGACAAATTTGATCATACAATGAATGTTTGGCTCTATTTGATTCACTTCGTTTATTTTTAATTGATCAAAAGTATATAATTTTACCTAATGTGCCGGGGCGTAGTCAAAGGGGAGGATGCAAATTAACAATCGCCCATTGAATTTTTTCTTTTTCAGAATTGTTTATTTATTTTTGAATTCGGTAGTAATTATATTTTTTTTCTTCCGTGTGAATCACATATGTACTCTTTGTTTGTTGTGTTTGTGAAGAATTAAGAAAAAGAGAATCGCTCCTTGTATTTTACCTGTAAATTTGGATGAACATCAGTTCGGCTTTATTGGAAAAACATCAACCACGTAAAGGCCAAATGTTCGTTATTTATTAATTTTCTTGATAACATTGCCTGTATCAACAGCTTCTGCTGAAACATGTTTCAGCCAAATATTGAGAATGAAAAGTTATTATCAGTCTATAATGAAACAAAATAGGCTAAACGGACTTGCTGCTGAATATATTCATAAACATTTCGATATAAATCCAGATGGAATATTAAAACTATATACACAAATGCATCATCATCGTCTTGATTTTGGTGTTTGAATTTGAAATATAAATGTCATAAATAGAGACATTAAAAATAGATTAAAACACACTTATCTCAGGCTCAAGATCTGAGTTTGATGCAAAATTTGATTAAAAGAACCTCATTTCATTGTTTTTTGTATTATTTTTACTTTATCACGCTGGTCTAAAAATCCTGGTTACATCGCTGCCAATATGTGTTAATATTAAAGATCATTGCGGGGACTGAATGAAAAATTTCAGAAACAATATGCAACAAACCAACTTACAATATCCAAATGATGGCAACTCTAACCGTGAGAGAAGCATTCACTTCTTTGTTTTTGAAAAAAAATTGTTTGAGTCATTGTTTTTCTCTATGGTATATACTTTTGACGAAGTTGAAATAAATAAATTTAGCTTACTGGTCTTCTTAACTTGCGGTGTACCTTCAAACTATACTTCAATTCGAGCATCCCTCATAAAATTCATCTCCAAAACAATGTTACCGTCATACATTTATTTAATACAAACGCATTATTTTTATGCATTACTTCTTCACCAAAGAGGTGCGATGTTTCATTTTGATTGGAGGATTAGCCACAAATGTAGACAGGAAGCAATGTAATTCAAATACTTCAGATGGGTGTGGGTGTGGTAGGGTTGTAGATATAAATCATTGTGCCTTGAATGATGCATTCAATCAATAATCTAGAATAGGTTGATTGTCAATATTTGATTTTGACTTAAGTTAATTGCAGTAATGATCAACTTCATCGAAAGTAAAAATAGATTCTGAATGAAACTATTTTGATACCTTATTTATTGGGATAGATTTATATGTAGCTTATACACGAGCATCACCTAACTCAGAACAGTCAACTAATGGAATGGTTTGATACTGAAAAGAGTAGAGGAAACGTTTTGAAATAGAATAAACACATTGCAGGCATTTGATTGATTAAAATTAGACGCACATCTAATTTTCAGTATGTACGAAAGGCTCTGTCTCTTTTTTTGTCATAAACATAGTGCGCAAAGATGAAAACCAATAGGTTGAGTGTGTGTGTGTGAGTGTGAAGGCGAAGCTTCAGCTCACGAGGGAAGGTCCCCAGGTGTTACGCTCCGTTTTGAATCGGACATATGCCATTTTGTAGAGCTCAGTGAGACTAGCGAAAGCTTAAAAGGGTTCTTCC